ATGTGATTTTTAAAATAAGAATTTATTTTTGGCCCACCATTTCTTACCACCACCACTCATTACCACCCATCACCACCACCCACCATCACCACCCATTTTAATTGAACAAATTTTAACAATTTTTGAAAAAAATAAATTTAAAAAAAAATTACGTTTTAATCGGCCATTTTGAATCGGCCATTTTTAAATAAAATCACTATTTTTTTAAAAATAGCCACATAATTCATCTTTAGGATGAGCCCAGAAAGAAGTCTATATCTTTATTTTTCTGGAAGATATGAATTTTTAAACATTGGGGAAAGAGGCTTCAACGCCGGTAACGCGGCAAATTTTAAGATAGGATTTATTTTTTTGTTTCATATTTCTAAGATTTATTTTTGTTTAGTTACCTAATCATTTGCTAGAGGAGTTGGCTATGGATGTTTATGATGAGGTGGATCGTCGAGAAACAGAAGCAAGTGAGTATCATTCTTTTCTTTTATCTACTAGAGAAATTAACCGTAATTGAATATGCTTTAATAATGTGTGTTATATATATATATATATATGTATATATATTTCTCTGTTATGCTATTCCTTTGGAAGGGTGAGTAAAGAATGTAAACTTACTAATATAATTGTACAAAGAATATAAATGATTAATTAAATATGTGATATAAGTACACAAGTAAATTGTCATATTTGAATTTTACATAGTTTGGTTTTCAACTGCATCCCTCCCGGAGAAATGTACTGTTCCATTTCTGCCAGTTAATCCACAATTGTCATCTACTAGAAACCAAGGAAGACAAAAATTAGCGAGATTCACGCCGAAGGAATTCACCACTCTTATCGTAGATTTACTGATCGAAGCGGATCGAAGACATACACTTGCTAATAATGCACTTCAAAGTAATATTATCAAATTAATAGCGCATTTATTTCACTCGGAGTGATTTTTTGAGTTATTTTACATCATATTTATTATACACTGTCTGTTATTCTTTAGATCCCGCGATATCTATGCTTCGCAAAGAGCAACTTGGTAAGCATGGATCCCAAGTGTCTGACGATGAACCTTTGTACGACAGTGTTGCATCTGACGACGACTATGCTGCTCTAACATCTACAGATAATACTTCATCTGACGTTTCGAATCAGCTTAAAATTAATAATGAAGTAAGTAAAGGTTATTTATGAGGTAATTAAAAACTCGAGTTTTTAAAACACAAAAAAATGCATTAACAAACGTGACTGTCCATCCTTGGAATGACAATATAGAATATCATCAGACATTCTTGCATAAAAGGAGGATATATATTTTATTTTTTCTAACTGCTGTAAACTAAGATACAACGTATGTGAAAGTATATAGTAGTATATAGTTTTGCAAATTGTTTTCTTTAACTCGCATCAAGAATGAGAAAAAAAAGAATGCGAAAAATATATAAATTTACAAAACTAGGTTGCAACTTACAACTTACTTAGTCGTATTTATCTGTTTGTGATAAAATATTAAAGGTACCAGCACTAATAACAAAAAGAGGAATAAGGAATTGGCTGAGCACATGGCTTTTCTGTAGGCGGTGTTACTAGGCAAGTGCACAGATGCTGAAAGTGCTTGTGCATGTGCGATCATTGCCAAAAGTGTAAATTTGACTATTGTGAAACATTTTAATTAGCTACTAGACTGATTCATACAATGAATTCAATCTACTAAACTACTCGCCACGATTTTATATATTTACATAACAACAATACAATGATAATATCTACATACACATTAGTTTATAACAGTTTGTTTTCGTGATCATTATAACATGTTCGATACTTGTTGCATAGTGTAAGTATGTTAATTTAGAACTAAGATTATTATTGTATTACATTGTTTCAGGAAACATTTACACCAATCGCTAAGGGTCTTCCGTCCATGGTAGAAGTTTTGAAAAAACAATTGACTCTATCTGAATCAACCGTACGAGATCTCCGCGAACAGGTACACAGCCTGCAAACTGTCATCGAGCAGCTCACTCAAGAGAACAACGAACTGAAGCATATGCTACAAGTAACTAACAAAATTGTATTAGACACACAATAACAACGTTATTTGTGTTACACGCAATGTAATATATACCTATCAGTGTTCAATCGCATGATGAAATGCGAAAAAATTTAACCAATTTAGATCAAAGGTCCTGGCGATGGCAACATGAACGGGCATGTCGGGCATGGGGAACAGGAACCTGAATTAGAGCCAGTACACGATATTAAAACGTCCTCTATACGTGGAAATCAACGACCAGCATCTATGTATGAAACTAGAGAAGGCCTACGGAAACCAGCGTCATGGTCAACAACCATTTGTCAAGTAATTATTTTTTTTTCCGAAACAAATTGACAATATATAATATATTCGTACCATATCTTTTGCATTATTTTGTTTAGACGAAACGCGACACCGAGGCATTATCGCGAAGTAACACGCAAAGTTTGTGGGAATGTGGCGCGCCTAATCTGCCACCCAGTGAAGAGGTAACTCGACGAACGGAGCAAGTTACCAGACGAATCCAAGAACTGTGGATGGCTATGCAAGATCCAAGCCAACGAGAAGCGTTTGTCCCTTGCGCCGAGAGAATACGCGTTGCCGTTGCCGAATTAACTGCTATATTTCCTCAGGTAAGATTACTGATTTTATTCTTTGGCTGACAGAGATATAATATATCTCTATTATAGAATCCAATTGAGGAGAATATCAGGTCTGCTTTACGCCAGTTAAACGGCAATACCGGGAGACTTCAAGCAGAGTGTTCTGGTCTTCAAAGATGCACCAGTGATGCTGAGCATATGGATCGTTGTTTACAACAAGTACGTTCATGTGCTTACGATATTGCCAAAGCAACTAAGTTACTTGTCACGCAATTTCAAACGTAGATTCTCTCTCAATGTCTTTTAGAAAAAGAAGTGCCTTTATCTTTCTTATCGAGTCTATTAGATATATTTTTCTTTTCGGGTCTTAATTACATAGTTATTGCAATCTTTTATTTACTTTGCAATAATAATTCATTCGTTTATTGTCCTTTTGTTAAGTTTAATAAATATTGGAGCAGAATACTTTTATTGGATTATTTGATTACTAAAGTAAATTTTACTAAAAATATACTTAAAAATTATGCAAATAACTATGCGAAATAGATAAGACATGACATTGAAAAGTTTTACACACACACACGCACGCGCACACACGCACGCACACACACACACACACAGAGAGAGAGAGAGAGAGAGAGAGAGAGAGAGAGAGTATTTTAAATAGCGGCCACTAATTATAATTAGTTATTCCTTGTAAAGAATTGAGTCGGAAAGTCCTGAATCATTTTTTTCTACAATGCTCAATGGAGCAGTAATTATGCAATAGTGGTCGTTTCAGAGTAATATTGTAGAAAAAAACTGATTTAGGACTTTTTGACTAGTTTTGATTAGTTTTTTTTACAAAGAATAACGCTATACATATAATTAGTGGATATTTAAGATACACCTTTATAAATCATGTAGTGTTAAATATCATTTAATATATGTATATCTGACAAAGACTGAATAGCAGCAAACCAATGAATTTTACATATATGCAGCTTAAGTTTATAAATTTTGTTTAATAAGTTTTGCTCAAGCAAATTTTACCTTGTCACAAAAACTGCTAAACTACAGTAAAAGCTCGATTATTTCAAAGTCTGGCAAATTTCTGGATGTAAAGGTTAACAAGGAATGCTTTCATCGCATGTATAAATCACTTCGTACGTTTATTGCCAAGACTTATCGAGCTCTTATTGTATCATTTAAAGAATTTGACGAATGTATTATATAAATTAAATCTTTTTAACATAACGTGTATTGAACATAAAAAGAACTTTTATATCTAATACAGCTGAAGTGTGTTTATCATAACTGAATATACTGTCAGTTAAACGATGTAAGAACTTTAAATGAACTTTCTTAACATTGTCTTTCTTAGTTTATTAATTTATACAATGAAAATGGCACAATGACATAAAAATTTGAATCTAAATTTATTATTTACATCATTTTATTGTATATATTCTATTTAATATGTCATTAAATCTATGTAATTTTTTAAATTGATTTTTATAAATCTTGAGATTTTTTAGCTTTTCTTGGCTATATCGCTAAAAACAATCTGTGCAATATTGCAGATACAAAAATAATCAAATTTTATTTAACTTGTTAACAACAATTTTGTTTACAACAAAATATGTAGTTATAAGCGACAAAGTACACTGCTGCTCAATACTCATACAAGTTCGGACACCTATATAAATTTTATCAAATGGTCATGTTTTAAAAAAATATGTAACATTACCAAACAACAATTACATTTACATTACTCTCTTATATACTTTAGACACTTTATACTTTTATATTTTACTAGTTTACTTGTATACTTTAGACAATTATTCTAATACATTTGCAAAAGTTTCATTATTTATTTTAACAGTTGTTGTTGAAATTTTCAAATTATACTATTACCATTCTGAAAAAAACAGTATATTTTGGCACATAAGATTAAAATAATTTATAAAACTTTTGCAAATATATCAATATGTATCTGAATAAGATTAGTATGTATATAAGAGTAGTATGCAATTGTTGTTTTGTAACGTTATAATTTTAAATGTTTTAATCATTTGATAAAATTGATGCAAGTATTCAAATTTTTATGAGCGGCAGTGTAAGTCAATGTTTAATTGTTACAATGATATATCCGCATTTTAATTACTGATATACACATGTGTAATAAAATGAAAATACTGTAATTGTAATATACGATATCTGTAAATGGAACGTGTTTTCATAAAACAATATTTATATTACATATTAATTATATAATAAAATATTTATTATATAGCTGGTTTGTGCGTGCGTACGTGCGTACGTGTGTAATACATTTTTTAATTAGCTGCAGCTGAATATTAATGTAATAAATATTATTGTATAACATTCAATTAATTTGTAATATAATATTGATTCTATTTTGAAATTAATCGAAAATAATTATAAAATATATGTCAAAGATTCTTTGCTAAATAAATATTACGACAATAATAATCATAATGTTTTATCTCTTTTTTTTTCCTTTTTACAGCAAGCCCCACGTTTAAAGGTTGGGAGCATATGAAAAGCATAAGAGAGAATTCACACCTTGAAGGAGGATTTATATTGGCGCGAAAAAACGGAATGCGGAAAGAGAGAAAGCAATGAAAAGTTGCACTTGGCAATCAAGTGCTAGCAAGTGTAGCACTTGGTAGCCAAGTGCAACTTGTGATTGGTTTTCTGTCTTTCCGCTCCAATGTGAATCCTCCCTAACGCGATTACGCCGTTTATGCTTTATGCGTGCACTGCCTGTACTACGAATGGCATGCATGCGTGTAGGGCTTGAAAAAACGTTACTCTTACACACACACACACAGTGAGGAAATTTCCGTTGTGTGACGGACATCCGTCGCGGAGAATAGAATGGGACTAGAACATCTCTAGTAAGTTTCGCAAGGTCGATAGTTTGCGCGTTGAGTTTTCGCGCTATCTGTTGGAAAACTCGACGGATGATCAGAGAGAGAACACGTATCTCTTGGGCGAATGTGGAACGTTGATAATTTTAATTTTGTTATTGAAATTGATCGCGAGAACTCGGGGGCGTGCGTGCGCGCGCGCGCACACATACACGTGACGACTGACGAGTTTGGTGAGTTTGGTCGGTGCCAAACTGCCAAAGGGCGGGCGCGTCCGGGACGTTTTGCGGGACGCGTGTACGCGCTCTCACGTTTGAAGTTTGTACCATTGCACGCGCGGCGCGGCGCGGCGCGGCGCGAGTCAAAGGGAGAAAGCGGGCCGCGAAGCGGCGCGGCGCGGCGCGGGGCAGCCATTTTATGTTAGTATGACGTAGAGGCTGGGTGTAGCTTAGCGTTCTTATTGTCGGTCGTGCGAGAGGAAAAAACTAACGGATCGGTGTCTGGTAAGTGCCCGGATGTTTGACGGTTGCGAACGGTCGACCGCGAGTGATGTGAGTTGCCAATCGCCGCAGCGATCGTGTTCCCGCGGATAGCCGTGTAACCGCGGACAGCCGTGTGACGCGTGGAGGCCGTGTGGAGGGTAAGAGGCGCTGGACAGCCTCAGCGAGAGCGAGATCAAAGAGGGGAAAGAGTGTGCGGGAAAACGTACGGGCGAAACGAAAGAAACGAACGAGTGACGAGACGAGACGACGACGGCTAGCTCCCAAGTCCAGCTAGTGAGCGTGCGAAAAGTGAAAGTGCCGTTCGCCGCGGCGGTAGCTGCGTCCGTAGCAGCGCGTGCGAACATGAGCGAGGAAAGTAATCCACGTACGCTGTACGTGGGCAACCTGGACACCTCGGTGTCCGAGGACCTTCTGTGCGCGCTCTTTTCGCAAATCGGCGCCGTGAAGGGATGCAAGATCATCCGGGAGCCCGGCAACGACCCGTATGCCTTCGTCGAGTTTACGAACCACCAGTGCGCGGCCACGGCACTGGCCGCCATGAACAAACGCTCGTTCCTCGAGAAGGAGATGAAGGTTAACTGGGCGACCAGTCCGGGCAATCAACCGAAACTCGACACCAGCAATCACCATCATATATTCGTAGGCGATCTCTCGCCAGAGATCGAGACACAAACGCTCAAGGAGGCGTTCGCGCCCTTTGGCGAGATCAGCAATTGCAGGATCGTCCGCGACCCGCAAACGCTCAAGAGTAAGGGCTACGCGTTCGTGTCGTTCGTTAAGAAGTCCGAGGCCGAAGCGGCGATCAATGCGATGAACGGCCAGTGGCTGGGATCACGCAGCATCAGGACCAACTGGTCCACTAGGAAACCGCCGCCACCGAGGTCCGAGAGGCCCCGGCATTCCAACAATAGTAAACCCAACTACGAGGAGGTATGTATGCTATGAGGCTAAAGAGCTTTAGCTTTAGCTTAGGCTCAACCAACAACTTTTGGCTACTATTCATCGTCGGGGCGAATGTAGCCAACATTTTTACCATTTAATTTGATTTCGTGACAACCTTGGTGACTCGTGTTTGCATTAACTCCGCTCGCGAAACAAGCTCTAGTCACTTAGATTTTCATCGATGACAAACGCTTTTACTTGAGACGATTGGATCTAACGTGATTATGGACTCGGAGAGAACAACCACTTGTAGCCACTTGTAGCATTAATGGCAAAGCCACCACTGATAGACACCGCATGTTGTTCGGGACGAGAGAAAGCATCCGTCGTACATCTTGTATCTCTCGATCGACACTGATTTTTCCATATTAAAATCTAAACGTTAATTTCATTCTCAACAGGTATATAACCAAAGTAGTCCGACCAATTGTACCGTATATTGTGGAGGTTTTACGAACGGTATCACGGACGAACTGATAAAGAAGACGTTTTCCCCTTTCGGTACCATTCAAGATGTAAGAGTATTTAAAGACAAGGGATACGCTTTTATCAAATTCACAACTAAGGAAGCTGCGACGCATGCCATCGAATCGACGCATAATACAGAGATCAACGGCAGCATCGTTAAATGTTTTTGGGGAAAAGAAAATGGCGACCCAAACAGTGTGGGTCCTAATGCTAATCATCAAGCTCAACAGGTTATTTACTTTTATAAGAGATGCATATCGAAAGCATTCCCCCCAGTCTCTCTCTCTCTCTCTCTCTCTCTCTCTCTCTCTCTCTCTCTCTCTCATACACAAATTTATGCAAATTACTTTATCTTGTGTATATTGGCTAATAATTTATACATGGTGTGTCATACATGTGATGTGTACATACACACATATATATATATTTTTTTTTGTTTGTTTGTTTGTCAAACAGGTGACGGCAGGAGCGGGACAATACGCGTATGGTTATGGTCAACAGATGAGTTATTGGTATCCACAGGGCTATCCGCAGATGCAGGGACAATTCTTGCAACCTGCTCAATACTACGGTCAATATTATGGGCAACAAGCTCAATACATGAACAGCATGAGGATGCCCGCTCCAGGTGCGGGAGCCTGGCAACCGACGCAAGCAACTGCGGCACCCCCGACAGCGAGTGCGCCCTTGCCCCCGGGCCAGCAGCCCACTATGGTAACATATACCATGCCACATCAGTACCCTACGCAATGAAACTGAATCATTCACCGGCTAATTGTTACGTACGATATAGTTGTCCTGGGGTTATCGCGAAAATCGTTTCGACATATACCTATTTCAACATTTACATTCGAGTTTTCGGTTATGTAACACGTAATTCTACAATTAGGATGCGATTTCACTTGCAGAATCTGCAGATATATTGGATATAAGTAGGGAAAAAAAAAAAAAAAGGAAATGCATGCAATCGGTATGCTGAATTTTTTTCTTTCTCTCCTTTCTGTGATGTACACAATTGATTCGTTTTCAACAACTGAAAAAGACGTTATTTTCTTTTCCACGTTCGTCATAGACGCGCGTAATGTTATATCGAGGTAAATATGTATAAACATAATCTCGATGCCTTGCAATGACGCTTGTACGATGGCACCGCCTGGTCAGATAGTACCGCTGCGCGTCGTAGTGCTAGAATTTGATCAGATTTCACGATTTCTACTTGGATATATGCGACGTTGAACCAGGTATATTTCCAAACTTTTCCTCGCGACTCAACCCCGAAACTCAACCGAGCCCCGCACCCGTTGTGCTGCGCAAGTGACGTATGTATGTACGCGGCAATTTTTTTGCGTTGTTGATACCTTTTTAATATTTTTGCCACTGACATCTCGACTCTCACTCCTCCCTCTTTAATCTCGAATTGTCGATGAATAACGCGCGCGCGCGCAACACAAATGTTTATTTGAGATAAATATGGAGAGTATTGCTAATATTGGACACATAGTTAATAAGGTAGAAGAGCGATTAGCTAGACACGGCGCCTGTGATGTAGCTAGACTTTTGGACGCGTGTATGCTAAGGCGTGCGGGGCTCCCTAACAAACAAATTCTGCGAGAGTTGAGTAACGAGTTACAACTTTATCTCGTTGTGTGATATTTATCGTCGGTGGTTAATGTATAAAATTTTGCTATGATTCTCTTCAGAGAAAAAAAATGGAAGGGAGAAAGAGAAAGAATGCGTGCGTGCGTGTTGCGTGTGTGTGTAATATGTACGTACGTATGTATGTATGTATATATGTGCGTGCGTGCGTGAGTGAGTGAGTGAGTGAGTGAGTAAGTTTTTGCAAAAGACATCAGTGAATCGAGATTCCCTTGCACGAATGCCAGCTCAAATATATTAATTACATACGACGTTGTACGTTAAATGGCATATTGGCTCGCACTCTCTTCGCACATCTCGTTTGACCATCATATTTTCGATATATTGTTCGAATATTGCATTTTTCATCTGTAAATGAATGAAGGTCGCGATGCGCTTATTGTTTTCTTTTTCTTTTTTTTCTCTTTTTTTCTGAGAATACTTGTGTTTTTGAAATAAAGGAAGAATATATAGGGATTGTGATCGTTGCTAAAGGTACAGCCAAGTATAGCTGGTGGTCTGAAAAGATATCAGTATTAACGTACTCCGTTGTAATGCTAATGATTCCTCGCCGTTTGTATAAGCGATCTAGCCAACCGAAGAATAATAAATAAATGTAATTTAAGTCTAATACGATAATAACAATAAACGCACGCATACTTCCATTGGGATATTTCTCAACTTCAAGGGACGAGTCATTGATATCTTGGTCTCGAGATTAAGACACCCGTATGAAAATTGGAAACATTTATATACATATTTGATTACTAACTTGTTACGCGGACGTCGGTAATTGATATCTTGTTCTTGCAGCACATAGAGCATGGAACGATTTGATTGACAATCAATCGTGATAAAATATACATACGTTTGCGAATTATTATTATCGTAGTCTGTACATGACACGATTCGATTCCTTCGTGTCTTCCAAGTTAACGTGTAACGAAAGTTCGCGTAGCACAATTAACGATATAGTTGCTTTTATTCTCTTCGGTATTTTCGCTAATCGCTTAGGGCTCGGGTGATTGGCCTCTCAGGCTACCTGAAGAAGAGAAACTTTGTGTATTCAGATACGCGACGTCCCAATACGAAAATAATTGTCATAATGTTAGTAAATATATTTCCCAGATGAATGCCGTTTATCAACTCTCTTTTTCAACTTGTCAAACATTGTTATCATTGTCATGTTTCCGGAAATCGGTTTCCGACTGTTTTGCTGTTTTGCTGGTAATTCTAATCTGAAATTACTTAATAAATTAGATGATAATCTCAGTGCCTTAGTACCCAATCACACACGAGCCCTATTATATTGTTGTTTTCTGTGAAACAACTTTTGTTTTACTAGATTTGTATGCGTGATTACGTCGCGTCCATTGCATTCGTCTGAATAGAGTTCAAGTCCGTTCATCTACCGTTCCGGAGTAATAAATATCCCCGTTTGAAGAATGATGGAGCACTATTTCTCATTTTGTATTGCGGATGTTCGTAAAAAGAACCGAAATGGATTATTTCCAATGATGTTTGATATGTGAGAATGCTTATCAGTCTTATCACCTCAGTTCACCACCGACGGTAAAATGCCATAAAAAGTTTCAAAACCAATTTGTATAAAGTCAGTATATAAACGAGATGCGAGGTAAACGAGGGAAATAAATAAAGCCGGGCGTGGTAACGATTCGATTGGTTGCGATAAAATAATATCGGACGGAAAGCCAATTTAGAGGAAGAGGAAAAACGGAGTTGCCTGCGATGTAATCGGTAGAAAAATCGTAAGAGAGAAAACAAAAAATGTTATATATGAGTAATTTAGGTACGGCAGGGTGTCGAACCCTCGAAGATGCTTAGGATAATGTTATCTTATAATAAAAACAAATTGTCCTTTTGAAAAAAGGAATAAATATTTAAAATACATAATATCGTGTACGTTATTTCGTAACCGTTCGCTTCAATAATTGCAAAAACTTCTCCCACTTGTGTATCAGTTTACCCTTTCTTGCAGTTATGGAGTAGAGTGAATAAGGCATTAAGGTAGTAACAATAATTTATGACATGTGTATATATATATATATATATATATCTATATATATATATACATATACGAAATATATGTAAAGTGTCATGATAGCTTGCATTTTAAGACTCAGTATTCTCATTAACCGTGCACGCGTGACGCGGCGTGACATCGACGTTTACAGTATCAATAAACGCGAGGGACTCTCGTATAAACACTTCAGCAAACAGATATCGCCGCCCGATTACCACGTACCTAATTTAACTTCTTGCGATAACGCGCCGACGAGGCGCGACTCGACGAATTTTTTTTTTTTTTTTTTCCGATGGG